TTCTCGAAACCATTTTGTTCCTTCAACATACTGATGACTTTCCCTTTTCCACCACCCTCAGCAGTGGGCTGGCTCTCATCAAAGCCAGCATACTCTCCTAAAAAAACACATGATTTAATTTAGTAACTTAAAGTGATTCCCCTATAACAAGCTGACAGGTGCATACTGACACAGGTTGAGTCAAATTTGAAATGGCAACCACTTATCAAGGCCGATACCTTTTGGATAGAGTGGTAATCGTTATTTCAAACAGGTCCTCTTCAAGACTGATACAAAAACAATGCTCCGCCCTTATGAAAAACAAGAAAAGTCAGCTCTTACCATTGAAGTAGAACTTGAGCCGGTTGGCGTAAACATGATGAAGAGGAATGTTTAGCTGAGTGGCCACGTGTTCAACGATGCAGCGGAAGCCCCCTGAGATGAGGTACACCTTGATGCCACGCTGGTGCAGGCGGTCTACAAGCTCACTGGGGGAAGATGTATGGACATTTGTCAAAACACAAATTAGAAGGATGGAGTGTTCATAGGTTTTTTTAAAGATAAACAGTAGCAGGTATCCCTTGAAAAAGAGATCAATGATCTCAAGGGATACACCTGGGTAAATAAAGGCTTGAAATGAAACAAGATTTCCTTTTTAAGTTCCTAACCTGTAATTTCCATAGCGTTGACCTAAACAAATCTAACATACATTATTATTATGTGCTGATACAACAAATACAAATTGTTCCGTCTCTCTCTAAATGTTTGCATGTTTTAATACAGTACATAAAAGATGTACTCTTGTTGTCTTCCTCTATCTGAGCCAGTCAACTAAAACAATTTGCCTTGATATACATGTTGTGCATCCCTTGTTTTTGTACACTTTAGAACAATAGGCAGTAGTAAAACCTAATTTACATCAACAGTGGCCAGACAGTTTCGGAAATTAACCACTCAGACACATCAACGAGTTGTTAAGTAGGTAAAGCAAGCACAAATGCATGTGCACAAAGGAGCAGAAAAGAGTTGAAATGTTAACACATGGCATTAGTTTGCATAAACTCCCACTTAACTGTCGGCCATGTCAGCCACCATGGTCGTTAAATACATACAGACAGCCCATCATGACCCAAGATCACATTTCTGTGTAAGAAGGTCAACTTTTTCACGTGTAAAGCCCTTTAAGGTATGCTTGTTTCAACCCCCTATATACATAGTTAAAAAGTACTGAGACCTTATTAAGAGAGAGTTGTTTACCATAGATTAGGAACATTTATATTTAATGTACATTAAAACTTCACACACTCACCTTATACCTGGAGTCAGCTGGGGTGGATGGTCTGTTAACAGTTTGTTCACTTGTTCTCTTGAACATCGGATGATGGATAGACGCTCAATCAGGGCTGTTTTGAATGACATTGAGCCGCCCATAGCTTTGCGGGTCCTAAAATGTGAAAGAAGCAATATATTTGCATAATTATTTAAATAAATACAGTTATAATCTCAATTTTGGGGCACTTTTCAGTGCACATTAAAGTGATGTTGACAGCATTTATACACATACATTTCAGTGACTGCATCCCCCACACCGCAAAATTTGGCAAGTTCATCTATGCCTTCTTCTTTGATGACTGTGCTGTCCACGTCGAAACAGACAGCATCTGCTCTCCGGAAGACTTCCTTCATATCTGAAAGTGTTGCCATTGTGCTGAAAAATAAATACAATATGTGAGACATATTTTAAAAAACACAGCAGGAGTATCAGTACTCTGATGGCATAGTTGTGTCAGGCTATTTTAGGAAGTCATCTGAGGGGGAAACTAATGTCATTAGCAGGGGCCTGGGCTGAGTTAGTTGGTTCAACACAAGGTCGGAGATTTCCCCTGCAGCTGCATGACTGGTATTGTTAAACTAAGCCCTTTATGCATTGGATGTTTTCTATCCAGTGAAGCAGCAAACCCATCCATTGATTGAAATACCTATGTGCAAACGTTTCTGCATCGAAGGATCTCAAATAAAACACGTGTTCCATCAACAATGAGTTACGGCTGGGCAGTCTGTCTGCCTGCCTAAACAAACTATACCACAGGCTGTTATGGACATCCTTTGCACAGATTGCATCACCCGAGCCAGGCACACTACAAAGAACCGAGCGATACAAAACCTACCTACATACATACATTCTTCAAACAAGCAATTGGCTTGTGCGTAAAAATAACTTGCGACTTGCATAAAAAGTCCTCACGCATTTAAGTAACGCACAACAGATATACATACATCCATGATTCAGAAACGTTACCGGTCCGTGAACACACAAGCACTTAGCGGTGACCGTACACTACTCAAGCTGCAGCACTAATGTATGATTGAAAAATATATGTTTAAAACACTTTTGAAAAGTAGTGTCGTACTTACTGTTGGGAGCAGCGTTGGTAAGGCACTAACAGCAGCTTCAGCATTAGCCAATCCTTCAATGGGCTCAGCGATGAGGAACAGACGAGGAAGGACGCTGCGAACTCCACCAATCAGAGGGAAGCCGGAGAAGGACCGCCCACTTTGGTTGGCACGGTTACATGACGACAGCAACGGTCAACTGACGACTCATTTGATAAACACAGTGAAGAGTGTGCATTTCACTGTGTGTAGTGACATGACATCTAATGGGTGGAAGATACATCTATTAAGTACTAATACCAGTATAGAAACACTTTTTTACAAGTTAAAGTCCTGGATTCAAAACATGACTGAAGAAAAAGGGAAATATGTGTAGTAAATTAGTAGGCCTTCCATGGTTTGTCCTTTGGAGACACATGTAGGCTATTAGCCTATTAGGCCCTTTACTTGTTAATTGTTAAAACGCGTTGTTATTTGTTATATATTGAATGCTGTGAGATAAATGTGGTGGAGTAAAAAGTTACCCACAATTTCCTCTCTGAAATGTAGTCAAGAAATGGCACTTAAAGGAAAGGCTTAAATAAACTAGCCCAATAATGTATCAACTAAGTAGGCCTACTGTAGTTAATGTGCTTTACCAGTATGTTTTTGCCTGATCCCCTTTATTTGTTATACATATTAATTTACATTGTTTCATTGACAAAAATCTGCTTGTATACAATAGTTGTGCATAAAGAACTTGTATTGATACGGGGGTCGACCCCATAGTAACCGATTCAGGCCTGATTTATAACGCCTCATTGACTCAGAGCCTGGGTGTCAGCCAAGTATCCGCAGCAGACTCCTGGTGAATAAGATATCTACAGCACACATCCTTTTAAAAACGTTTAAATCATTTGGAGATTAAGTGTAGTTTACTCATGAGGATGCATGCCTTTATGATTCACAAAAGTTGTACTGCAACATGTCGCTGTCCAACACTTTTTTTGCTTTCCACCCACAGAGTAGATTAAATTACTGTTAAATTAACCGAACACCTGGTAAAGGTCATTTTAAAGAAGATATTGCATTTTTATATTTGATACTTGTTTAGGGTATTGTATCTGTATGTTTGTGTCATCTTGTGAAGATGACTGAAAATTACANGTTTCAGAAACAGTTTTTATCCAACATGTTTAATACACTCATAAAACAAACATCTGATATTACAATAAGCAGCAGCTAGAGTACCTCGGCCACTGATAGATTTGTTTTATGAGTGTATTAAACATGTTGGATAAAAACTGTTTCTGAAACCTGGCATGCTGTCTTCACGTGAAAAAAGCAGTAGCTACAAACACAGCACCATGAAACATTACCATAACAGACAACCTAGGAACATACAAAGAGGCAACAGAAAGGAGTAGTTTACCATTTTTTTTTTTTGAATAATAGGACCTCAATTAACGTACATGTTACACAATTTTATACTTTAGTTTTATCATGATATGCAACAGAAATACAGTTTTCTTGAAAGATGAAGACGTTTTCACTTCACTCTGCAATGTCAAAGTGCCACTCCCCAGCACGCCAATATAACCGCTCCAAATTTACATTAAATAAATAAATAGCTCCTGCATTGTGCAGTGAGCTTCAGCAACACTATTTTTTCTATCTGTCAACACAGCTGCACGTCTTTTCAAGTAACTTTGGTTGTTTCTAAACTTAGAGATGAGCTCTCTGCACGGCCCAGATTTAAATGTGGCACCAGACTTTGGACATCGTGAGCATCAGGAGGTTTAAATCAGCCAAATGTACTCACCCTGCACCTGAACTAAAAAAAAAATAAATAAAAAAAAGGGATGTTGTGCATCCGTCAGTGGTTTTGAATATTTCAACAGCTGATAAATGGTGGGCATTGTTGCCTCCTCGGTCCTGGTGACATTTTGAAGTAACAAAGGAGGGAGAAGAGAAGGGACGTTGTTCGGCAGCACTGACGGGAGGTGGAAACCACGATAGTGATGCTCTGGATGGATGTAACATTCAAAGGGGGAGGGGGAGGGTGGGGTGCCCCTGGATTTCAGCTTCCAGCTCACTTTACTTCAACGGGGAAGCCTTAGTCGGGATCATAATCCTGGAATCCATGTGTTGAATGAGAGGAACTGGAGAAAGGTGATAAGATTTAAATCAGTGTCCACATCGTTTAAACAAGGCCACATAAAAGCAAGTTAGATTAAACACAACTTGCAATGCACTTGGTAAATCAATCAGTTTTAAATAGATGTTAGTGTTCTCTTTATATTGTAACATAAAACAACAATTCATCCCACTTTCCACATCTTTTAAAACGTTTGAAAGATTTAGAAATGGTAACAAATGGCCATATTTTCCAATTTATTAATTCAATGCCTTACAACATTTTTTAAAAGATCGACTGTTTAAAGGTCATGTGATATTGATCAGGTTCAGCATAATCTACCAGGTCAACATGTTGTTACTCAAGACAGCCTTAAAACATGTGAAATAAAAGCTACAGACATACAATATGACATTTCCTCACCACTTTGTGTTTAGAAACCTATTTCTTTGTGCTCACCTGTGTAATATACCACCTCGTCCCAGCCCTCCTGCTGCCAGGCGCCGTTCCTCGTCTCTTCTCTGGTCTGAAGGTCCTTGTAAGCTGCAACAAACCACACATTATAGCACTGATGAGCGCTTATAGTCACTGTAAAGTCTGTTGCAGTTATTAAGGATTAAGGAGTATTTTATAGATTCATCTAGTCCTTTTTTATTTTTTTATTGTTGAATTTGAACAGATTTTTCTTAAAACGAAACAAGGGACTACAACTCTGCTGAGAAACTGCTGAATGGAGTGATATTTATAACATGGTTCTTCACTACAACTGAACCAGTTTAAACTACATTAAGTCATTAAAGATACAATGTTAAAGAATATAAATGAGTGCAGTAGAGTTAATAAATAAATGAAAGTTGACCAGGTTCGAAAATATTTTTGTGCTCCAAACAAACTCAAACCCCCTGTCTGTGTAACACAAACAGACATTTGACAATAAAGTTGCCTTTGAATCAAATTATTTACAATAATATAGAACTATTTCTTTGTCAGTCGTTGTCAAAACTTGATTTTCTGTGGAAGTAAAGATTTCCGGATTAGCTTGATCGTCTACTCTGACACTGTCGGTGTGTAATCCCCCCTCAAGCTGGGGTGCGTCCGTACCCCAGAGGTGATGAACCATGTATAGGTTTCCGATCTGTGAGAAGAACCCCCCCACAGCCTCACTGTTGTGCTGGCGATATCCGATGGCTCTGGCCCTGCAGACAAAAACAACTCCAGTCAGAAAAAGAATGTCAAGGCTACATCTGGCATGACAACAGCAGAACGGCAAGAGACATTTGGTATCCCACGCCATCTTTGAATGCATTATGGTCTGTTTTTTATTATTATTATTATCTTTGAGCCACTTTTGCTAACGTATAGTACATGACAATCGTTTTCCTTAGCTGTGATTATCCATTGCAACATCACATCTTTTTTAAATGTTAACGTTGGCCAATTCCATGTGAAATGACTGCTCTGGTGTGAGTTGAATATTTTAAAATCGATTTTCCCCCAAAGCAAACATATACTTATTTAAATCATAATGACGGTCTGGATACAAAACTTTAAAGTTTCCATTCCTTAAGACATTTAAACCTTAAACTACACAAATTATATTAAAATTGCTTTAATGACATCTTCTTGACTATAGGGGTTTATTCAAATGCAGCCTGGATAAATAATTACAAGAATAGTAGCTTTAGGAAAATATGACCATGTCCCAGCTTGATCTCTTGTCTTATGGTCATTTAAATGTGCTGTAATAGAATGAAAGGCAGAGTAAAGCCTCAGAGCAGAAAAGGCTGGGTGTTATTAAAGTGGTTCAAGTTAAGTTAACATGTGAAATCACACAGACATAAGTAAAGAATTATTCTTAAATGTGCTAACTGGAAAAAGGTGCAGAAGATTTGACATGGACTGGCACAACTGTGCAAAACAGGCTTTGAAATATAATGAAGTAGGTTTAGAAAGTAAGGCAGTCTGACAAGTACAAAGACCAAGAGAAAACTCAATAGTGGTCCAATCAGCTAGTAAAAAATGAAAACTAAGGCGTGTTCAGAAAGTTCACGTCTTCATTTAAATCAATTGCAATCAGCCGCATTGCTAGAACTGATGAATGTTGACCTTTTGGTCTGCTCGAGAAAATGATCATTATTCTGAACCGTAGTGTACAGAGAACTCCACCTGTATTTAAATATTGGCTTGAAAGCATGACAGTTCGTCTTCAAAATGGTGCCTCCCTGTGGAATATCTTGTATTAATGAGGAAGGTTCCATGTAGTGCAACTGCTCTGTGACTACAGTTCAGTTTATCAAATTGAATTCAAGCTGCCTTACCAGTAATTACCCCACTCGATCATGGTTCCTGGCTGAAAGAAAGAAAACACAATATTCTTTATTACAATTCATCAACTTTCCAAAGTACAAATTGATGTCCCACCTGCGTCTGATCTCCAGGGGCCTCATGTATAACGCCGTGCGTAGGATTCACGTGACAAGGTTGCTTACGTAGTAGAAATCCGAAAAATAGGTCCATAAATTTTCCACCACTTTCCGATTCACCAAAGATTGCGTACCGGAGAGGAAAGTGCGTACGACACTTCTTACGCCGGTTTCCCTTTATAAATCACAACCGACTCGAAATGCGGTGCAGCTTTTGCGGGCTTCACGTAACGCCTATATTTGCCTATAAATAGTCAACGAAACACCTTTTCATTCNTCTGTTTGCTTACAAAGTTCAGGATCCTTTGGTGCCATTTAGGCCTCGCCGTCCATGGATGGTGGGTGTTTGTGTATTTCCTATAAATAGTCAACGAAACACCTTTTCATTCATTCATTTTGACTGACTGCATGGAGAAGATCGCAGGAAATGACGACAGAACAGCTAAAAAAGACATCTCACACAGTGTCANCTGCCTTGGCTCCAAAAACCATTACCTCAGTTTTATCTTTGTTTAATTGGAGAAAGTTCTGACACATCCAGTCATTGATTTGTTCAATGCACTTACTCAGTGTTTGAATTGGAGCATAGTCTCCTGGTCAAATGGTTACGTAAATTTGTGTGTCATCCGCATAGCTATGGTAACTTATTTTGTTGTTCTTCATTATCTGAGCCAGTGGTAGCATGTAGACATTAAAGAGAAGAGGCCCCAAGATTACAAATATTACACACCAGAAAACACAGAAATATCCATGAAATAAACATACAGTAGGCTATAAACAATTAAAGGGATAATTGGGAAGGCATTACAAATGTAAATATATTTTTGACTCAACCTGTGTCAGTATGCACCTGTCAGCTTGTTATAGGGGAATCACTTTAAGTTACTAAATTAAATCATGTGTTTTTTAGGAGAGTATGCTGGCTTTGATGAGAGCCAGCCCACTGCTGAGGGTGGTGGAAAAGGGAAAGTCATCAGTATGTTGAAGGAACAAAATGGTTTCGAGAATGTGGTGATGATCGGAGATGGGGCCACAGATCTAGAGGCATGCCCTCCTGCTGTAAGTGAAGACTCTCCATAGTTTCATTTGTGTGCAAGTGCCTGCTTGATTAGTGAATGATGATATTTTGTAACACATTGTGACTAGTGTTCTCTTTCGTCCTCAGGACGCCTTCATTGGATTTGGTGGTAATGTCATCAGGCCGCAGGTTAAGGAGAAGTCCTTGTGGTACGTGACAAGTTTTAGGGAGCTGCTGAAGGAACTAGAAAATATTTAAACAAGATAAAAAGAGTACTGTAACTAATTTTAACATTTTTTATTTGCACCCAAGGGTGCTCTTCTGTTGGTTTTATCCCATGCACACGTTTCCTTCTACTCGATAGATTTTTATATTGAATGAAAATGTTTACACTAGAAAGTCCAGTTTTTCCTTCATAGGGATGCTGCCCTATTGATTTGTACTAGTTACTAAAGGATTAACCTAGCTACTTTTTATGTGAAGGTAAACATATCTTGTCATGCACTTTTTGCATTCACAACTCGTGCATTTTTATGAAATGCGCAATGAGTAATAGAAATGTTTTAGTTCAGTATGAATATAACGAGCTGTAACTACACTACGTCAATGAGTGTTGAGTCCTGTAAAGAACATCGGTATTAAAAACGAGAACATCTTGTCAAAAACATTGTTGAAACTGCTTTATTCTGTTTTGGCCTTCTCGTCTTTTCCCTCTACACTGTTTCCTGTGACTGATGAACAAAAGACAAGATAAACATGCTTCCTTTAACAATAACATCTGATATTACAATAAGCAGCAGCTAGAGTACCTCGGCCACTGATAGATTTGTTTTATGAGTGTATCATACATGATAGCGATGCCTCGTTTAAACATGTTGGATAAAAACTGTTTCTGTAGTAAATAATAAAACAATCCCACCACCACAGGTATCTACAGGAGAAGAGGGAATTCTCTCCACAAAGTGTGAATGCCCATNTTCTATTTGACGTAAACAACCAGAGTCATGGACATTATACCGTTATTGTTTTTCAACTTAGATTAGAACTCGTCATTGTTTAAAATTGAATTCATGTATAGACTGTAATTGCTAATTTTTTGCCTAATATTGCTAATATATAATGTTTAGTACTAATTGTGTACACACGTAAGAATATTTAGTTTGCCTCAGTTTCGCTGAGGCTCCACCACACTAACGTAGGAATTTCAACAACGTTAGGCGGTTTTTTGGCTCTCTTCTTCTTCTTCTTCGGCTGAGCTCCGACAGGCGAATCATCGGAAAAACTCTGAGGGGGCCGACGAGTGCAACAAGCAGTAAAGTGAAAAGTAATGTACACAATCTACAGAATAAAATATAGAATGAATTGAATGATGAATAAACAGTGAGGGGTATGAATATACACAGCAGCCTGTGAGCAGTAGGAACAGTGTGTATGAATATGCTAAGATACATAAAGTATAAAAACGGTAAGCAGTGCAAGTAGGCTATAGTATAACATATATGGATACTAATTTCATGATGATAAACATTGTGGAACAATGATGAAAAATATTAATGGAAGGGGCGACGTAAAACTGACTGTTACGTTCCCTTTTAGATCCGGGGGCACAAAGGGAAGTAACAACACGAAAAAATAACCGGCCGAGAGAAAAAGGAGAGGAAACTGATCTCTGAATCCATAAGCAGGTCTTTTAATTAGCAAAAAGAAAAAGGGCTCACCAGCCAACTTGCAAAACAAATCTAGATAAAAAAATATATTCTGGAGACATGGACACCACGCTGCACACATCCAGCCAGGGGAGAAGGAGAGAGCGACTGCAACCCTCCTCATGTCCTATATGGAGGCCCTGATTGGAGATTGGGAGCACCTGGGGAGAGGCTGCACCTGAGGACAATCAGGCTGCACCTGGGGAAATCAGAGGGAGAGAGAGAAAAACACACACACACACCCACCCACACAAACACTATAAAACCAAACAGGTGTTTGGCCACAGTTACCAGGAACACTCAACTTATACTTCACAAGCCTACTATTGAATGCTTGGAAGCTGCCACCTGCTGCTTCCAAGCCACACACTCCGCCACTAAATGACCAGGGTCAAGACAAGAGAAACACAATCTCTTAGTGTCGGGACCTGGGAGAGAAGCAGAACGAGCACGTGTGACACGTCTGTTACGAACCCTACAGTGAGGATAATTGCTCTGAGGATACACTTTACCCCCGGCTATATCATTACCCATTATGACATCCACACCGTCGATAGGAAATTTGGGGAGCACAGCAACTGGAAAGAAACCAGTAGCCAGTTCAGACTGGACATGGACATTGTGAAGAGGTGCGGGCACAAAACCCATTTCAATACCTCTCAACACCATATTCGCATCACAGGCAGACTCAGCACTCAGGGGCAGGGCACCGGCAAGGATGAATGACTGTGAGCCACCACTGTCTCGCAACACCGGGGTGGGATTGTAACCAATCCCACCCCTTCTGGGTGCTTGCCATCCGCTGTCTGCTTTCTCTTCCAAGCTGCACAGTCTGCTATCCCATGACCTGGGTCATGACAAAAAAAACAAGCTCTGTTTAGCCTGGGCTCCAACACTGGAACACTGGCACAGGGAACGTAATTGTCAGGAGCTCTACGATAAGTATCCCGCTGAAAAAAAACGCTCTTATGTATCAGTGCGAACTCGTCTGCCAGAGTGGGCAGCCTCGCTGACAGGGTAGTTACTTTCTGCTCGTTAAGACAAACTACCGTACGCTCCGGTACACAGTTTTTAAACTCCTCCAACATCAACAGCTCACACACTGAAGTAATGTCATCAGCTTTACAAGCTCTACACCACCTGTCAAAGAGGACTTTCTTCTCCCTCGCGAAGTCCACATACGTTTGGCCAGGAGTTTTCTCCAGGCCGCGAAAACGTTGCCTGTAGGCCTCAGGCACAAGCTCATATACCCTGAGAATAGCACCTTTAACCTTCTCATACACCAAACTATCCTCGACAGAAAGAGAAGAGCAAGCCTCTTGAGCCTTTCCGACTAGCTTGCACTGTAAAAGAGTAGCCCACACATCTTCTGGCCAGTGCAGAGCAGCAGCAATGCGCTCAAATGCACCGAAGTAGATTTCCACCTCTGATTCACGAAACACAGGGACCAAAGAAATATGCCTACTCACGTCAAAGGTGGCAGCAGGACCAGAAGGTGTAACGGCAGAATCACCCACCCCAGCTGCCTGAATCTCTAATTGACGCATCCGGACAGCAGTGTTTGCCTCCAACTCCAACTTCCTGATCTCCAGCTCTGCTTCCTGATCTCCAGCTCCCTCCTGAGCTGAAAATCCCTATCTCGCTCCTCCCTCTCACACTGGAGACGAGCCATACGCACTTTTACCTTAGCATCTAATTTAGACCCCGTAGGTGAGGATCCTTCCGAAAACGAGTCGAATTGAGGTATGGTGAAAATTCTTGCCTGTTCCGTAGCACTCTTAACACCAGGAGTAACACCAATGCGGCCTCCATCATAAGACTCTGCTGCTACAGCCCCGGCCACCGTGCCAGGAGATTCCACCAAAGTAGGCAAACTCAAAACCCCCTGTTCAACTAGTCCAGTTAGCACAGTAGCCTTGAGTTCACTTTTAACAAGAGCAGTGGAGACAGAAATGTGATAATGTTCAGCAACTAACCGCAAATCAACCTTCCTACACAAGTCTAGTTGACCCACAGTAGGACTGGACACAAACTGCTCCAAAATAAAAGCCATCCTTAACGGCTACTTATAATTTTTTATTTTTTTTTAACAAACTTCCCCAGATCCTGCCTACCAAACTCACCTAACTATCTTCTGGAGCGTGCCGGGCTCGAGGCGATTTTAAAAAAGGCAAACATCAGCGGCCGAAACCCTGAATCGCCTGCCCCCAACAGGGAATAAATCCCCACCCAGGATTACCCCGAAAATAAAAAAGGCAAAATTAAAAATTAGTGTCTGAAGGAAGGACTGATTCAGCCCAGCTAGACACTCCCCTATCTAAACTGAGGAAGCTGTTCAACAGTAAGAGACTTCAGCCAATGCTACACTTATACTACTGCTCACCACCAAACAACAAACAAATACTCTCTCATTGTCTCAAATCCCGGACGAGTCCCCATTTGTTACATTCCCTACTGGGCTAAGGGAAGTAACAAAATATAAAATTACCGGGCAAGAGAAAAAGGAGAGGAAACGGATCTCTGAAGTCACAAATTGAGGTTTTAATGGACAAAAAGAAAACGGGCTCACCAGTCAACTTTTAAAGTAAACTAAGGTACCAAAGATACAGGAACACAACTCCTAACAATTCACAAATATACAGGCCTCACACAGAGATGGAGCCATGCTGCACACATGCAGCCAGAGGAGAAGGAGAGAGACCTGCAGCCTTCCTCAGTTCCTTTAAGGAGGCCCTGATGGGGATTGGGAGCACCTGGGGGAGAGGCTGCACCTGGAGACAATCAGGGAGGGAGAGAAACACACACACAAAAGCACACAGACACACAAGCACCAACTGCAGGCACATAACAATCACAATGTATTATTATAGGTTAAGATAATAATTACATTTATGAAACCCATGGTGTACTGTATATAGTAAAAAAAAAAAAAAAGAAGCTCTATTCGTGCAACATTAAGTCATGAATAATTAATGCCTCATTAATCAAAATCCCAAAACTGAATACGCTTTCACAAACATGCATATTTAATAATATTGAGTAATAATATACACATTGTTCTGAAACGGGTCATTCTGCATGATGAGTACTTTTACTTTCAATATTTTAAGTAGGCAATATTTTAAATACTAGACTTTCATTTGTAACATACTTTTGGATTGCTGTTACGTTCTGTTTTTTGGATTATCCAGGTTACGCTTTCCCATTTAAACAGCTTATCTCTGTAGAAAACCTGGATAAAGATGCATTTAAACACCTCATCAAGGTTTCTGATTTTTCTTAGTTGCTACAGAACACAGTGTCTGAGAGGGTGAGGAATCAAGACACATACGACAACAATCTTGTAGACAATTATCGAATTACTGTTAAATATACATTGTTAAGGATGAAAACCAGTTACGTTGCTGCTTTTGACTCTTTTTTTGTTGTTGCAGCTGATGTTTTCACTTGTCACAGTAGGGGAAATGCAGGTGTAATTCACATAAATAATAATGGCTCTGTTTTATTCTGCCAATGAGCCAGCACAATACCATGGCCCTGGAGCTAGAAAACAAAACACAAGGGAAACCTTTATTAAGGTAATTAATAACACATGTGTCATGACATGTCGAAATGTCTGTGGTGACAAAAGGCCTGTTGTCTGTTGTAATGAATATAATCAGAGGACAGTCCCACACAATGTAGTGCATTAAATACAACAATAAAATCCTCCTCAGCTGGAAAGAATATAAAATAAATAAATAAAATACAAAAGTGTCTCTGGTATATACTGAGGCCATGGATATGAAGACAGGTTGCATCTCGTCCCTTATGGTTTCACTAAAAATACAATACAATTACAATAACTTAAACATAACTTAAAGGTGGCGTAGGTAATTTTGGAGAAACCAGCTCGAGTGCGCTAGAATTTGAAAATACACAGCCGGAAGAAATCTGCTACTTCCTTACAGAGCCCATCCTCCAACACACATAAACGCGCACATGACCAATGAGGGCACGAGATAAGTTTGTGCACAGATGGAAGGCTGACAGGCAGGTAGGCCATCCAGTTATTTTAGCCGGGCCGGCTAAAATGATTGGTTGT